GGGGGGGGAGAGATCAGACGCACACATGATTGTGATTTCAGAAGTATTCTAATCGGTGGTGATTAAGACTGATTAACTCTTAACTTTATGTAGTTTTAGAATCTCTAGTTACAGTGGCAGTTACCATGATATATGTTTTGACTGAATGTTATGTCGGCTCTGTCGGAGAGGGAAAAAATTTGCGTACGTAAGACGTACGCAGCGTTGCGTACGTTTTGGAGGTTATACAATGGGTATAACGGAGTTATATCTGCGTTATACCCCCTTGTAACCTCCATGTAACCTTCTGCAACCTACCTGTAACCTACAAATAAGTTCTCTTATTTGTAGGTTACAGGTAGGTTGCAGAAGGTTACATGGAGGTTACAAGGGGGTATAACGCAGATATAACTCCGTTATAAGTGGGTATAACGCAGATATAACCCTCTTATACCTTATGTATAACCTCCAAAACGTGCGCAGCGCTGTGTACGTCTTACGTACGCAAATTTTTTCCCTCAAAGAGACGACCCGCGGCCGGGACGATCTGTCGTCTGAACGATGATTTGTTGTTTGGACGATCGATAGTTTGAATAACATGTTGCCTGGATGTCCCGCTGTCTGGAAGACCGACTCGGCCCAGATGACCTATCGAGGTCAACCGATTAAGCTGACCCGAAACCAATTAAGCTTAGCCGGCCAAGTGAAAACGTGGCTAGACGTCAAACTCATATATGTAAAATATCAGAAATACTCATGTGACATCTATATTAAAGTAGGGGCAAACATATACCTTCACTTATTGTATCATCCCTCCTATAAATATGAGATCATTTTATATATAAAAAAAAGATCTGAGAGGCCCATATTACTGCTCATTACAGTGTACTTTTCCCCTCTCTCTCTCTCTCTCTATGTAAATTTCTTTTTTCTTTAAAGTTAAACTCATTTTAATTAATTTAATAGTAAAATAAATACATTTTTACAAGATAGTAATTTAATTTTAATTTTAATTTGTTTTTTTTATAAGAAATGATTGAAATAACAATAATTTAGTATATACTAAGTTTTTAACACATGTTGGTAATCACAATTGACCAAATGTCCAATCAAATCTAAAAATTTCACTGCTTTTCTAAATTTTTTTTCATTTTTTTATCCAGATAAAATCAAAATTAAAGACTCTGAATCACAATTGACTACAGATGTAGTCAGGGATGCAAATGTAGACGAATTAAACTGAAAGCTAATTACATTTTGACTTAATTTATTCATGTTAAGTCTTTCTCTCCTGCAGGCCCATCTGGCAGGGTATAAGGATTTGGGTCAATTGGCTGATTAATATATTTGGATGATTGATCTTCAAGTCTCAAGCCAACAATGTTCAAATTGTTTATTTCTCATTTCAATTATTTGAGCACCATAGTCTTGATTTGAAGTTATTTTAACTGAAAATACAGATTTTTTAAGGAAAAAAGTATATTTTATGGTCTTTTTGTCTCTTTATTATATACTCTTTGTTGTTTATTGGTATTCATGCAATCATAGTTAAATTTACATGATGAAATGATTTAAGTACATGAACTTGCATGATGTGTTAGACAAGTAGAATATTCTGAAATACCAAATTTATACATTTTGTCTACCAAAATCCACCTTTTTTTTTTGTGTGTGTGGGGGACGCACTGTGGGAGGGGTTTGAGCAACGATGGGCAAGGTGATATTTAAGAAGGGACAAAACTGATATTTCATGAGGGGCAAATGATTAAATTGTCCTCCCATAAAAGTTAAAATATGAATTTGAGTGGGGTGATTACCCCCTGAGCCCTACTTGGGTCCGCCCATGTTCGTAGCTGTATAGATTTTATTACATTGTTTAGATTATAATCGTACATGTATACACCAGAACTATAGGCACAAATCTCAAAAAAATGAATGGCTGAGGGGCTAAAAAGCTTCCCTCCAAGGTAAGCGATCAACCGACAATTTAGCGCCAAACATGAGAATGCACGTCTCTAAACCTTGGATAGGCCAATGCTCTAGAAATGTTTTAATGCTCGATAGTGACAAGACACGTCAAGAGCAAGGCACAAATAATTCCTGCAGCGAGTCTCATCGGATATCCCGCATAGGTAGCAACAAGATTCACCCAAGACCTTGTGGAAGGGAATGTCCGGCCAAGGCGACGAACCGACCAGGCAGACAAAGACGCAAGCCTTGTAAGACTTGAGCCAAATGACTAACGAGCCACAACTCACCAATGAAACAAATTGACCCATCACCAATCTACTTTTTGCCATGACGAATGAGATCAACACTCGACTGGATGTGTCGGTCGACCAACACAAGACAAGGTTGTCACTCAGCCGATCGTCTCAACCTGTCGAAGTCAAGTAAGTCGATGTGTCAATTACTGCCATGTTAGAATTCAAACAGTAATATATCTATATGGTATAAAATTCATATAATTAATCAGAGCATTAATTACATTAAAAACGACTTCCATAATTGTTCCCTCCTTTTCTGTAATTGTGCAAAATATGTTTCTATCAATAAGAGACAAAAGGATAGCCAAAGGGAGGCAGACCATTTAGACTCTCCCCCAAATTCCCCGATAGTGAAGTCTTGACCCACTCAACTTTCTTTTATCTCCTTCGCTTGACTCTAATGCTCAAGGCATGTTCACAAAGAGGTAATCAGGGGTTCAACATCCTGAAGGGTGATACGGTGAGCATTGACAAGCCCCAAATGAGAAGCGGAGCTAACTACAAAGAAGAAACTTCCCAATGAGAGATAACACGCATGGAACCCAACAGAGATGCTACGCAACCAGTCGTCTATGTGCAGGTCCAGGGATTACGAGGCCAAATAACCTTCATGATGAAGCAATTCGAGATCCTCTGGGCAGCAATCACCTAGAGTAATGACCAGACGCCTTGCCTCAAAGCAGAGCCTTAGGGGGTGCGTCCCCAAAGGCCCCCACCAGGAAACCCGTCTATCCTACACAACCAAGCCAACAACCTGCAGAAAGAGAGACAAGGCAATTCCCAAAACACCGACACAGCTGCATCTGCACATACATACAAGCGATGGGAAGAATGGATGTTAGTGTCTATCTGAACTCTTGTAGGAAGGTCCTTTACTCGCCTAATCAAAGATGCGATAACTCCACCCAAGATTAAGATTCCTTTCTTAAATTCTTACAAAGGGAGGACTGACCCAATAGACCAGGTCGTGTCATTCAAATCATATGTCGGTCTCCTTAAGATTGGCAACCTTATAATCTGTCATCTTTTCTTAATCACTCTAAAAGAGTTGGCCCTTTTATGGTTAAACGGTATGCCAACAAAAACCATCCCAAGTGACTACAAGTTTAAAGATTCTTTGTTTTGCACTTCTCAAACATTCAAAAGTCGAGGAAAAATGAGGTCTACATGCTTACATCACCCGCTTCCAGAATGAGATGCTAGAAGTTAGAAATCTGAAGCTGAAAATAGATGGAACAACCTTGAATCAAGCTATTTAAGTATGACTTAAATACATTTAAATCTACTACTTTTGCAGAAGAATTGAAGATGGCGAACAACTATATACTCGCCGAAGAAGCTCTCCAGAGCTCCCCGAAGGGTAAGCACCCGACCATCCCTCAATAAAGTAGAAAGAATGAGGCAAACTACATAAAGTGTAGGACTCCGATCACCGGAACAACAACTCTTGATCCTGGGATCATCGGAGGAATGACCAAGGCAACCATGGCCAAAAGTAATGCACTGATCAACGGTCGGTTCAATATTATGAATGACCACATGTTTACAGAGAAATGCATGGTTTAACACCCCTCAACATTTTGATATTTGAATCCAGACCATCTAAAACAAGGACTACTTCAAGTCAGACCAACTATTGAAAGCGGCCCCGACCTTACAAGAACCAAAAAAATATTGTCAATATTATCGTGACCATGTTCACGGCACAGATGAATGTTGTCACCTCCATAACTTGATCGAAGAACACATATATGCTGGGAAACTCAAACTCAAAGAGTTTTTAACGATTGATGCGCACACACAACGACAGGGTAAAGTGCTAGCAAGAGATCCCTCCAACTGACTTATCAGAGCGAACGAGGTCCACATAAAAGCAATAATCCCCGAGAGTCACCGGAACTAAGACCTTAAGATCTCCCTTGATTCTTAATGAAAAAGAACACAATTTGATCCTACACTATCAACTAGGTTAAATGCTCCTATCCATATGGCTACGTGGGCATGAAATGTTCATTTTCTTCATAAAGGTCCAAAACTGAGAAGAAAATAGGAGTTTTGAGTCTACACCTTAGCCAAAAAGGTGAGGCCTCTTGGGTTGTTGCAGAAGCTTCGCCTAAATCCTACAAACTTCCTCAAAGCATTGGATTCATCTAAGGTAAGGTCTACGTATGAACTAGACCAAAAGTGGCTCAGGTTTAGCTAGGGCTATGTTGGAGGTCGCAATAAGGTGAGGTTTTGATTTAGGGGGGTCAGGGTTTGGTGAAGCTTTTGAGCGGATTAGTTGTGAGTTTTGATGGAGTTTTACCAAAGGTTAAAGAAAATCTTGGATTTAAACAGAGAAATCAGAGCTTTTTATTATTGCATAGGGGGTTGTGAGTGGTAGAGAAAAGTTTCTCAAGGCTTTGTGAGTGAAAAGAACTCCCCGGCTCTCTCTGGTTCCCTCTAGCCAACTTTAGGAAAAACTCTATTTTTCTTGTGTTAAAACCTTCAAAATAGTTGTTTCGAGACAAATATGGAGAGAAGTCTCTCCCAATCAATGCAGAGCTTAATTAAAAGGTAATAACACCTCAATAAACTCAATTAAGCCTAGGTTATGGGTAGTTAATTTGCATTTGAAATTTGAATTTTGGATCATGGTGTTATTTTGGTGTTATTGAAGTTAGATCGTGGTTGTATTGGCTCAAGACCATGGTCATTGTGTTATTGAAAGTTGTATTTGGGGTTGGATAGTGTGGGCTGAGTAGTACTGGCGCTATGGAGGAAATTGTAGTCGTATTAGCTGATGGTATTGTGTTAGTATTGAGAGTGTATTGTGGTGTTATTATGGTTTTGTGCCCACAATTTCAATATGGTGTTATTGGGACTGTTACCGCAGTGTTATGGAGATTTATCATTGAGAAATTGAGAAAAAGAGGTGTTATTGTGTGTGTATTGCATGGCTACGGTAGTATTGTCGCAGTATTGTGCGGTGTTATAGGTAGAAATTACTGCGGCTCGGGAGTGGTATTATCGTGGGTAATACCGCAGTTATATCATGGTGTTATTGCAGGTTTGTGACCGCAATATTGAGATGGTGTTATTGGTTGTAGTATTGCAGGGTTACCGTGGTTCCACAAAAGTGGTGTTGTTGGAGGTATTATTAGTGCTAGTATTGCAGGGTTATTGGCAATGAATTGCGAAAGCATAGTTATTGTGGTTGCATCAGCACAGAAGCACAGTGTTATCCGGAGATTTGCAGCGGCGGCATTGAGATGGTGTTATTGTGGTAGTATCGGGGGTGTATCGCGTTGTTATTATAGGTTTGCTCCTGCAGTCTTGCAAGTGGTGTTTTTTTTTTTCTTTTTTTTCTTTTTTTTTGTTCAGGTCTAGCCAAAATCGAGCCTGGGATGAACCTAAACCCTTCAATTCAATTTGGGTTCACATGTCAGAGCACAATTAAGGGTCTGGTGAATTTTGGTGGATTTTTTAGGCTATGTCATGAGAAAATTTAGGACCCAAATTTGGTAAAATTGAACTTGACACATGGGTTCAAATGGATTTAAGGTGAATTTGGATTTGAACTTCCCAATTTTGGATTTTGAGTTTGAAATTGGATGGGTTTGGATTTGATTTTGGACTTAGGGTGGATTTGAGATGTGAATTTGAATTTAGGGTCCATGGGACTTGGTTTTGAATTTTGGGTGCAAAGTTTGGTAAGGTTAGGTTAACTTTGGTGATTTTTGAAAAATGTGGGGTAGGTTAAAAGGTTTGTGAAGATGGCGAGGGGGGTGAAGTGAGCCAGGCAAACATAGGGTCTGATCATCATATGGGAACTCCCTTTGAGTCTCACCATGTTGGTCTTAACCATCTAAGTGTTGGAGATATAAGACCACCCATGTGAGACTTCACAAGAGAGTCAGGAAGTGGCTTGAGTTTCTAAAAGAGGTGGGTCCCATCACTAGGCTTCTAGAATAGTCAAAAGAAAAGTCACGTGGCTAAATCCAAAGTACTAAGAGAAAGACTAGACCTCACCAAAAATGAGGTCAACACTAGTTAGAAAGTTAGTTAATCTATGAAGCTTGTGAGGATTTCAAGGAGCTGTTTATGAAGTGCGCACACAATGCCTTACCTGATTGATAACTTCTCCAAACTTTTATAATGGGTTAATAGGATCCTTAAGATTGATAATAGATGTCGCAGTAAGGGGTTCCTTGTTGTTTAAACCTTTTAAGGAGGCCTATACATTAATAAAATAGATGACTGCCAATAATTTCAAATGGCCTTCTAAATGAGTCAACTCTAGAAGTGTAGCTAGTATTCATGAACATTTTGTTATATGCATTTTAACTTCAAGTCCAATCCTGACTTGAAGGAGTGTAGCTAGTATTCATGAACATGTTGTCATATCCATTTTAACATGAGTCTCCTCTTGCAACACTCCTTCAAGTCCAATCCTGCTTTGATATTAACTTTTATTTTACCTTTTATATCCATCGCATTATTAAATATATTATTAAAAATATCATGTCAATATGCATGACATTGAGATTATGTTTAATCAGATTAGTCCTTCGGTTAAGATCCCAAAAATGATCTGCTTTGTCCAATTATGTGTAACATTAAAATCAGGAAGATGCTTTGAAGTTGGTTCTAGCCTCTAAGTGTTTTATGGTAATCCATTAATCATTTGTCAAAAAATCGGCTAGAGTTATTTTGAAGAAAGAACTTGATTTTTCAACAATATTTTTAAAGTAGACATCTCTATTCTATCTGAATGGGTGAGTGTGGGCTAGAAAACATTGATGATAATCAAATCAAGAATTTTTTTTTCTTTCATTTTTTAGGTAATTGTCTAAGGCAGATCCATGTAATAAGGACAAGCCAATTTTTTGATAGTGCTCAAACCAAATGGCGTCCCATAAGTCAAAAAATCATTAATCATTCTAATAAGAGTAGCATTAAAATGAAAACTTTAATTCAAACGAATATCAAAAGTTAAAATGCATGTTTTCCATAATATATGAAGCTCGTCTATTAGATATTGTAAGTAGACATCGATTTTTCTCTTTGACCTATGTGGACCTAGTATGATGAATGCAAGAAATAAAAATGCATGGTCATGCACATATTAGGGGACAAATTATATAGTGTAATAATCATTTACTAACATGAGAAAGGTGTTACAACGTGATTATATGGTGTGAACTCATCTGCATATAAACCAAGCTTAATGTTGTGTGGTTCAGTTGCAAAGTTAGGATATCTATGATCGAAGTGTTTTCAGGCTCCTACATCTTACAGATCACTCAAAAAGTTAGTATCATATGGTACTTTTTTCATGTCATGTATGGAGTTGTATGAGTAAAAGTGAATAGTCTTTGAAACTGGGGTATGAGTGGCTAGTAGAAGAGATACTTGTAAGGAATATTTTTCTGATTTTTACATTTTCACCCCCTTATTTTGAATTCCTCAACTCTATAGAATTAGCATTTAGTCCTTATTGCATCAACCTGATAACATAGCATAAAACTATTAACATTACAATTTATCTTTTCAAATAGTAATTATAACTTTAATACTATTTTTTTTTCTGTAAAGGTCATCATCAACTAAATTCTTTGTAGTGTTCGTTGACCAAAGGAAAATATGTTGAGATTTTCATACTTATTTTATACTGTTTTTAATGATATTGCACTTTAAAGAAAGGTATTTTTGATATTTTGTTGCAG